TGCTATGAACTAACTATCAAGCAATTTTCTGTGCTTTTACGCACGTGATGAATTTTATCTGCGTGATTCACCAGTTCTCTCGACTTTTTCATGTACCATTAATTTTGGTACTATACACATAAATGGTGAAACAACCCGCTATACATGTGACAACACTCACGTGAAACTCGAGGTTCCGAGTAGGAATGTTGCTACAACTGGTGCCATTCACACGGTTTGATTTAGCTAACCGTTTAATCAATCAGTAACGCCATGTCAGATGGTGTCCAAAGAGCTGGTCGTGGCACTGTTGCTCCAGTTTTGGTAATTTATTCCGACGCATTGTCTCTGCTTCGACGAAAATTTTCAGTTGTGAACTGCGATGCTTTATATTGATGACTGCAGCATTTGTGATTGTCGCTACCGTTAAGTTCGACCGTTCTGTCGTCGTAAACAGATCTGTTCTAACCTGATTTTCTCTGTGGTACTGTTATTTCGACTTAACTCACAGCTAAACCTACTTAAGTGTGTTTGGTTAGATGGCAGTAGAAGTGCAGGCAGCAGAATTTACGCACTCGGTTTAAGGTTCATGACAGCTGACTGAACGTCAGTGCGATGTGTAACCAAATAAGTGTCGTTAAGGTGTTTACCTTGATTACAAAGACGTGGTTCATGATTTTGAGACCTTTCTTGATGGACAGAACGACTTGAATGAAGGTCTATTTCATCAGCAAGATCGCCAAATCAGAGGAGCTTAAAATTTTGGTTCACTTTCACTAATAACGCGTTTATTGCGATTATCATGTCGTCCCTAGCCTCCCTAGCGATCAGTCTTTTTAAAAATTAAAAGAGACTTTGATGATTTTACTTCAGCGGCATTAGTGTTTCCTGCTACGCCCGTTTTTATGCAATCGGCAAAATCGGATTTCGCCCTAAGATTAATAGCAATTTCCAACCGAAAATCGGGATGGTTACAAAATATCTAAGCTCATCAGTCACCACCATATTCCTGAATTTTAGGCTCTCGGTGTTCAAAATAAAATTTTTGAGTGAAGTCAGGTTTGTAAGGTCGGGGTCGTAGCTGACCTGGATAGAACGCCGTGCCGTTGGGTTGTATTTGAATCTTATTCGAGTTAAAATGCTTGGCCTACCATGGCAGCGCCCAAAAATAATCAACTCACCGATGAGCAGGAGCGATTATTATGCAATGACTTGCAGTAACCACAAATAAGTACTTTGGCAGTACTACTCAATGTAAATACTTGCAAAATTATAATAAGATTCACAGTCATGACTAGTCTCTCTCCGCAGCTGGAATAGGAGGTGACTCGATCGATGGAGTCAGCGTTGCTGTTGGAGGCGGCGGTGGCGATAACCTCACTGCCGGCGTTGGAAGTGGTGGTCCCCGATTTGTCCCCCTTGTCTCCTTGCCGGCTGGCTACGTCAACCAATCCACCATCACCGCTGCGGCCGTTGCAGCTGCAGCAGCCGCCGCCTCGGCCAAACCCACCAATGGCGCGCCATTCGGACAATCACTGGTGTCCAAGCAGCAGCAACAGCAGACGCAGTCAATTCAACAGCGATCCACGCGGCAGAAGGCAGCGGATCAGCAACAACAACAGCACCATGTTGATCCCAACCACACAGATGCCAACTGTGACTACATTGTGCGACCTGGAGAGGTTTGGATGAGCCGCTACTATATGGACAGCCTTATTGGCAAGGGTTCTTTCGGACAGGCAAGTGTCTT